GGCCGAAGCAAGGTCACGCTTCTAGGGCTGCATTTCACAGGAGCGAAGGGCTTTTCCCAGAGCGGCATGGGAAGGAGCAGAGGCATTTGGGGCTGTTGGTTTTCATGCGCCGCTGTGAGCTGTGAGCGCCGGATGTCTGCAAATGTTGGGAAGGGAGGGGAGGGGGGGGGGGGAGCTGCACGCGCCCGTACCCCTTAAATAACGTCATGGTTCCCATGCCTATGCCATTCCAGCTCGTGCAGGCACGAGTTGATTGCGCTTTCAGCTGAAACGTTGCATTGCTACCAGCTGCATTGAAATTGTGGACGAAATTCCGTTTTTGTCGATCCTGATACCACACGTCTTTAAAGGCGACCTCTATTCAGATCCCAGTCGAGCTACGCATGCACTTCAGACATCGCCATTTTCTTATACAAGCCGCTTCTCACCGGTTAGGTCGTTTCTCACCGGTTAGGCCGTTTTACACCTGTCGCTTCTATCCGCGCGTGGGTTCATCTCCTCATCTGTCACTTCATCTGTCACATCTGTCACTGTCACATCTGTCAGGTGCCGTATGTTCAAGTCAATGCTGCAGCAGATAACGTTATGTGCCGCTGCTTGTGCTGAATGGTTTTTGTAGAAGTACACTAATGTCAATTTGCATTACGATCAGTGACGGATTTAGAGGCAAGGGGCCAAGAAGCCATGACCGCCCATCCCGGCCCCGAAGAGATTGATAGGCTCCGAAGGGGCCCATAGCCGGCCGAACGGACGCAGGTTTTAACGCAAAATGCAACAAGATTGGGCGCCTTGGGCCTCCAAGCGACCAAGAACAGCCGGAAGCAAATGCGAAGTGTTCATAACAGACAAAAGTCAGCATCTGCCGATTAAAAGGGTAGTAATTGGGAAGGTTTTCATGCTCACTACGCTTTCCAAATGCTTGATGTTCTAGATGTCCTACGCTGTTGCCGGGGGCTCCATATGCCCACTTTCCGGGCCAACCCGATCGCTTAAACACTTCTAAGCTGCCCATCATCTCTTTGCCTTTGCTTGAGTGGCGCTATGATGTTGTCGAGACCTACAGAGTAACCTGTCAATAGGATTGCGTTGTAATAGCAACGTAATAATGTACAATAACGGGGCCCTCTTGATCGATCAGAGTGCCACGGACTCTTCCCATTCGCCAAAAAGTCGTTATGCGCTTATGCCACGGTCATATATGTTAACTGGCAGGGGTACTCTCGGTTGCTCAAGGGTCCCTCACATTTGTCCCGGGCTCTTTCCCTTGCTCAGAAGATCCTGCGCTGTTCCTAGGCGTCATGTATGTTAACGTACCGAGGCAGTCGATGCTCAGAAGCCAACTACATTGGTCATGGACTTAGCCATTTTATCTCATATGCGGAGGACCCTACACTCTTGACGGGACCCTTTCTGTTAACCTGACCGCGCACTCTTGATTGCACAGGAGCCCGTCACATTTGTCTTGAGCACTTCACATTTGCTTGGGGGTCCCTTACGCTGCTTGGGGGTCCCTTGCGCTTGGGGCCCCGCGCCCCAAACTCCAGGGTGGTCCACAACGTGGTCCCCTTCACGAAATCCTGCATCTGTCACTGCCCACGATGCACCCTACGCTTTCACTCAAGACTCACTTAATGCCGTTTCACACCGTGATAATGAAGCCGACGTACATGCCATTTTAGAGTCCAGACGTATCGTGTACTTTTTTAACCTGTTTATCTAACCACTGAATTTTTGCCGTGATGTAATGTGGCACGTTAACGATTTGATAAATAAACTGAAACCAACGGGTGTTGGCAGTGTAGTGGTTTACGCGTCTGCGTTAACCATTGCGCGTGTGGGAAACTAGAGGTATGGGGTTCGATTCCCGGTGGTGCCCGCCCTTCCTGCCAGGGTGAGAGGCAGGTGACGCCATATAGCCTCTGCAGCCGAGTGCGTCGTGAAGCCCCAATGACACACGAATTGAAACCAAACTTGATAAAGCTTCAATCGCTGGCTAAGTATTTGGAAATAGTCTGCTAATTGCAAACACATGATGGGGGTAAAATGACGGATCATCATGCACTTAAATTAGCAGCACACCAACTGCTTAAGCGGCGATACCACTTGTTATACTTGCCTACGAAAGAGAGTGCATAAGGGTACAAAAGTCAACGTGTTTCTTTGCATACCATTGATTCATGGCCGACGCTTCTCTAGAAACGCACGCTCTCCTCTCTGTATGGATCATATCATCCTATCCGCATTTGATGTTGCTGGAAAGGCTGAGAAGCTATAGTCTACGGCTGGGCGTTCAGAAATACGAAAATGTGTATGGTGCAAGAATCGGAAGATGACAGCCACCTTGTGAGCAATTAAAACGAGCGGGTAATAGGTCATTCATTGCTGTTGACCTTTTTCCTAAAAGTTTAATCGTCGATTTGAATACATTTTATGTAATGCCTTATTATTAAGACATTTGTGGTCTAAGAATGTGAAAAATTAACAACTTTTTTTTAATTCACAATTTTAGTTTAAGAAGTGTAAGAAATTCATTCAACTGTTGAATTACTAAAAAAAAGGACATGGAACAATCCTGACTAGCTAATGGGTCATTTATTTTGGTTTTAACTGTTGGATTACTGAAAAAAACATGGAACACGCCCCACTACATTCCCGCGGGAGGACGGTCGTAAAAGGCATAACGCCACCTAGCGTAGAGGCCAGTCATCACCACGGCTGAACAGGGAAAAATGACGAAACTTATCCTAAGAATGCGTCACTCGACGGGTCTCTCCCGGACGTGGCCCACCTTCCTCTTAAAGCCGGGAGGGTCTACCCCCGCACCGACTAAACAGGAAGCTACGCACTGCGTCCTGGGGTTATGTCACCGCCTTCGCTCGCGGATCGCGCTGTCCTAGCCCAGGTGAACCGCTGAGTGCCTTGATGTGTGCCGGACGGCGGCGACCCACGTGACGTTTATCATCAGTGTTACCATGACAAGGGAAATGTCCTCTTTTGAAGGAATGCGGCTAAAATCGGGGGACTTGTGCCTACAAGAAGCCCAGATTTGCAGCGGTGCTTTGGATATGGACCCAATTCATTGACCTATCTCATCTTGCAAATCAAAGCTGCGTTTAGGCAACTGTGCTTTCGCTTCCCTTACTCTTCTAGGCAAAGGTGTCATGATTTGGTGGAAGCTCATCGCGTATTTTATGTGCAAACAATGGCCCACCTCAATTCTGAAAAATACATTGGTGTTACCCTGACACTGCATGCGAATGTTTACATTTTTGAGACTGCAAATGTCTAAATGATAAGGCATTATGTAAAATGTATTCAAATCGACGTTTAAAATTTTAGAAAAAAAATCAATCAGACTTTTTCTATAGCAGATATCTTGTAACCAAAATGCAGTGTACGCTGTTACAATATCCCCGCATTGTAGGCATGCTATGCACATAACTTCAAGATCACTTGGCCGGTTTCATGTTTATTTGATATTCTATATCTACTTGCTTTTTGGTCCACTTCATTGTTTTTTGTAGCGTTTCTCAGCTGTTAGAAAACCGGTAATTTTTCGAATTTTTAGACGTAAGCCCGCTCCGACAGTTCGGTTGGGTAGAGCGACTGCCTTCCGATTCACCCAATCGTGGCCGAGTGGGTTCGAGTTACCCTCGGCGCTCAAAATTTGGTGGTGGTGGAGAAGTGGTGGAGTCAGGGTCCACGCGACTAGCAATGCTGTGCGTGGGCGTCGATCCCAGAAAATGTTCCGATCGAGAGGTCCGGACGATATTTTTGCAAGACAAATAAATAAGGCATTATATAAATAAGGGAAACACCAGTGCTGACCTGTCCTGACCTGACTGACCTGACCTGACTACCTCTGTCACACAGGCGGAAATCGGTTAGGGTACTAATCCAGTAAAGTTGGCCTGATCTGCCCCAAATTTTGATTTCTCCACCGATTTCGGTCACTTAGAGTTGCGTCCCTGATGTCAAAATTGAACTAAAAAATGAGTTGCTTCCAAAATTGTTTTGATCTTGAGGAATCAGATGTGATTTGAAGCCGATTTGACGGCGATAATGCTGATGTAGAATGAGCTTGTTGATAGTGATGCGTTTGGCTATCTGTTGTACCAGCAGTTCAGACACTAACTGTATTGTGTTCTCCCAGCATTCCGATTTTTAATCATATGTATTGAGGGGGGGGGGGCTCAGAAGGATATTGAGGGGGCTCAAATCAGCATTGTATGGCCTCATACCCTCCCCCCCCCCAACCCCGCTATCCCGAAATTATACAAGTTGAACCCCATTACACAGGTGAGATAGCTCGGTCTATTACAAGGTTGTCACCTGTGATATGTCGAATTACCTGAATCCTTGTTATAATTATAAATGCTAAGCCGGCGCACTGGCTCGCCCGTCTGACCCTCGCTTCGCGGGCGCGGGCGCTCGTTTGACCCTCGTTTCGGGCGGCGCGGGCGCTATACATCCCGCTTGTGAGGACTACAGCGCATCCCTCGTCCGCCTGATCCTCGCTTCGCGGGAGCGGGCGCTATACGTCCCACCCGTGATGATCACAGCGCCCCCCTTGCCTGTACCGCTTTATTAATTCGTGATCGTACCTAACACGGTTTTTCCTTTTGCATGCTCCACGTTGAGTTGGGAGGACAGAAACAGTATTTCGACATCTTACACGGTCTTGATTATGACAATGTTTGCGGACGAAAACTAGCGAGCCTCGACGTCTAAGACAATGACACCCAAATGAGCAAGTGCCATCACAATCTTTGCAAAATTGACAGAACTCACTGTGCCACCCTGCACATCACTGTTCAGCAAACAACGGACACCCGCATAATCATGTGCGCCCACGCGGAACCGGGTGGGAGAGGCTCCCCTGGCCGCTGCAGCACGCCGCCAGCGGCCGTCTGTCGCCTTCACGACCATATAAAGGGGGATGTCGGCAGTCTGAGCCCAGACGCGCGCGACTCCAGGGAGAAAGAGCACACCTGATCGACATGGGCCTGAAGGTAAGACGTGGCGGCGCGCTCAGCGAGTGAACGGCGGATACTGTCGGTCGTTATGCGCGCTACACACACATGCACTCACACATGCACAATATCAATTAAGTAATAAAAGTAACAAATATTTAATGGATCGTAACTTTACGCAAACATTGAATTTTTAGGTGTGTTTGGTATCGAGGGGCGATCACTCGATTAAAGTGATGCCTAAAGTTAGCTGTTAAGATAACGGGAGGGTTCTCGACGAGACAGAGCAGTGCCGCAGAGCTGGGCTACCTAGCTCTCAACGATCATCTGTTCCGCTCCAAGAGGTCTACTTCCCAATGTTTTTCTGACTCTTGTCCTCCTTCTGTAGAACGTTGGAGCGCAAGAATCGTGTCTGAAAAGCCGCTGATGTCTTTCCCTCTTTCGTTTGGCAGAGGCTTGCTCTCGGCTGTGGCCTGGTGGTCGGCCTGGCCGTGATCTGTCGGGCGGAAGGAAGTGGCTGGCGCTCCATCTCCAGCGGTCACGGTCTGTCCTCTGGCGGCTACGGCCGGTCCTCTGGCGGCTACGGCCAGTCCTCCGGTGGCTACGGTCACTCCTCCGGCGGCTACGGCCAGTCCTCCGGTGGCTACGGTCACTCCTCCGGCGGCTACGGTCAGTCCTCCGGTGGCTACGGTCAGTCCTCCGGCGGCTACGGTCAGTCCTCCGGAGGCTACGGTCACTCCTCCGGCGGCTACGGTCAGTCCTCCGGTGGCTACGGTCACTCCTCCGGCGGCTACGGTCAGTCCTCCGGTGGCTACGGTCAGTCCTCCGGTGGCTACGGCCAGTCCTCCGGTAGCCACGGTCAGTCCTCCGGTGGCTACGGCCAGCCCTCCGGTAGCCACGGTCACTCCTCTGGCGGTCACCAGGCGACGGGGTACGCTGGCTTCACTGGCGGCCATGGATCTGGAGGTCATGCTCTCTCCGGATACGGCGGCTCTTTTGGGCATTCTGGATTTTCTGGCAGCCACGGCTCGTCAGGTTACGGTGGAAGACCCTCAGGAGGCCACGGATCCTCAAGATACGTTGTGTCTTCGGGTGGCTACGGCGGATCCCGCGGCGGACACAGCAGCGGCTACGGCGGATCCCGCGGCGGACACGGCGGCGGCTACGGTGGATCCCGCGGCGGACACAGCGGCGGCTACGGCGGATCCCGCGGCGGACACAGCGGCGGCTAAGGCGGATCCCGCGGCGGACACGGCGGCGGTTACGGAGGATCCCGCGGCGGCTACGGCGGATCCCGTGGCGGACACGGCGGCGGCTACGGCCGTTCAACGTGGCAAGGTCGACGCTAGCTGGCGGTACATCAGTGGTTTGTTCGTGCGCCAAGTCGTTTGTCGAAGGGCTTCCCCGGTGGCATGCAGGGACGGGGTTAGGAGGGTACAGCACAGGGTGCAAGCAATGCAGATGCAAGATAGAGCACTCGTGGACGAAAACGTTAGTCGTGGAGATAGAGAATGTGCAGGATGCGCAGGAGTTGATGAGTGTCTCGGAAACTGGTGACTGCATTCTTTCAGCTTTTTACCTGAATATTATTTGACCTGCTTGAAGTGAGCCGAGGCTGTCCCATCTCCAACGGCCCGTCAGTTATTGTGAGCGGATGAGCGCATCGTGTTCAGGGTTCTGACGTGGCCGAGGCGGTGGGGGCGACAGTGCCTCCCAAAGCCTCTCTTCAATGCTCGCTGCTTCTGCCGGGCGTCGTGCACCGGAGCAGCTTCAGGTCGCCAACGTGGGGCGAGCCAGGGAGACGCGTGGAACAGTGTGGGACGAGGGGGAGGGCGCGTGGAACAACGTGGGACGAGCGAGGAGGGCGCGTAGAGCACGGCCATCGCGACGCCAGATGAGTGTCCGTGTCAGAGATCCCCGTGAAAGGCCCAGCTATGGCTGGCTGCTAGCGTCCGGTGCCAGGTATGACCGCCTCGGGAACCCGTGCAGCTTGGCTGTGCCCTGCTGTGCCGGTTTCATTGCGTGCTCTGACCTCATGGAAATATACCAGCCGATCCGGAGAGTTGGATGTTGTTTTGAGTGATGAGTACTGTGTTCGTGCAGAACAAAACTGAGGCTGGCCAAGAAGTACCATCAATGTCTCTGACTACCTATTTCTTTTGTATTTTATCGCAGCTATAATATGACTCATTACTCTGAAATCGAAATGGTTCGAGCAGAATAGAACTGAGGCTAGCCAAGAAATATCACCAATACCCCTGACGACATCTTTTTTTCGATTTTACGCAGGTGCCGCATGATGCCGCGCTGAAATCGTAGCAATTTGCGGCAGATGGAAATTAGTGGCAATAACCGCATCTCAGCCGTTGCTACCCCCAGTCCCCCGGCCCCTAAAACCAAATGTCATCATCACCTGTCACCCTGAGTACACAGAGGGTTGATGCATACCATCTGTAGCGCGTGATATGAAACAGATGAATGGTTTGGTGTCATGAAAATTGAAATGCTCGGTGACATATTCGATTTGGTTGCCAAATGTCATCTCGGACGCATACCTTAAGTATCGATCAATGCTAGCACGCGCCTCAGTATGTAGTCAGCTGTATTTTCAGTTTAAGTCCGCTATTTATCTTTTTATTATTAACTCATCGAACCGATTGTGCAAAACGTTGAAACATTGAGAAACGAAGGCACGGCGTGTAATTCTAGTGACGTCATGCGATGGCTTACGTTTACCACGGTGCACATTAAAGTGTTGTTTTTGTTTCGTTGCGCAGCGTGCACCACCTTGCGCACAGTGTGCACCATCTCGTCCACTATCAGTGTGACAGGCGCTGTTCACTCCCACTGACGAGCGCGCCACCTGCATCACCATTCGTCAAGCTGCCTGCCATCTACGCCAGGTGGCCGTGCTCATGCGGATGAGAGTTCACGATTTAGCTGCAGCGTGTTCTTTTGGTGTGACGAGCCATCTGTTCTTCGGGGCGGCTTGCGTACGTCCATAGTGAACTCTCTTCCCCACCCTGCCCCTTTGGTTTAGTAGGCACGCGCTACACCTGCTTCGTGTACATGAAGCACCCCTGGTCTGGTAGGCAGGGCAGACTGATCGTCATCCATAGGTGGCGTTGCAGTCGCCTGTTCGGGTTGCGTGCGGAAATTCGGTAGCTCACGCGACCCATTTGTCATTTTTTTGGCAGAGAGCAGCGAAATCGCGCAATTTCTTTCTTTCGGTTTTTTATTGTATAATTCCTGTTTAAGTTTTCCAGAACCTGTTGGCTTCTCAGTAAGCACGCCTGCATTTGAGCTTGTACGAGATGGCGTGATTGGTTTGCCTAAAGCATCAGCATTAAACCTCGAAGCAGTTCTGAGTCGTCAGCGACACCTCCATCAATCGCCACAGCACACCGTGCGGCCATCGACCGCTGCTCACCGTGGCGGCGACCCTCCTGCGGGCGCGTGCTGCGGCACCGGCTGAGTGTCATGGTGACATTGATTGCGGGAGGGCACGCCGCCGCGGCCAGCGCCAGTGGCAAATGCATGAGGAACCGGCGTTCCAGCGCGACTGGTCGAGTGCTTCACGTCGAGTTCCTGAGTGGGCCCCGTGCTGGTGGCAGGGTGGAGGTTGCGTGTGCCGCCGGCTGAACGGCACGCAAGTGGACAAGTGGACAAGTGGAAGTGGACAAGTGGACAAAGAATGTCAGATTTTAGTGGAGCGACTGGTGAAGTGGACGGAAATGGAGCGCCACGTTTACAAAAGGTAATCAGCTGGTGAACAGCAAGCGATCAAAAGGCAAATAGCAGGTGAACAAGCGGCAGACAACTGCCACGCAGGCATCAAGTGGACGTCAGGCGGCATCAAGTGGACGTCAAGTGGACGTCAAGCGACGCCAAGTAAACACCAGGTGAACAGGAGTGGAAAGGGGTTGGACGCCAAGTGCAAAACTAAGCGCTTTTTGCGCAGGTGAAACAACAAGCCGCGCTCCAAGTCTCCGCCGCCAGTGCTGGCGAGGCCGGAATCGTGTTCAGCTGGCTGGTCGGCGGGTGCGTGAGCAAGACCGTCATCTCTTCGCTGCTTCCAGTGGCTGACCCGCTGACCTCACCGCTGACCTGACCTCTGATCCCCTGACCTCACCGCTGGCGTCCGGGAGTACCCGGAGGCCGGAAGGGTGCCGCCCGGCACCCTGAAGAGGCCACGCGGCCGCGGCCGGCCGGCGTCACGCTGTCGACGCCGCTTCCAGCCAGAGCAGGACAGCCCGCTGGAGCATCACCATGACATGTAAGAGGGGACAGCCCACTAAGGCGTCACTATGACGTGTAAGAGAGTGACAGACAGCTGGAGCGTCACCATGGCATGTGAGAGCAGGAAACCCTGCAACTAGGTAGTTTTTGTTTGACAGGTGTCACTTCAGAAGCAGCACATCTAATGAAACGCACAGGTAGCAAATGTGCCGGTATGCATCACTGCAATGTCGTCGGCAAGATTGCAGTGCTGAGTGATGACCACACCCAGCACGGCTCTCGGCAAACGCCTCCGCATGCAGAGGTGAGCCACAAGCTCATCACGTGTCATAACGGAGCCATCCGCAAAACGGAGGAATGCCTAGAAGACGGGTTAAAAACACGCACGAACGCTGAATGGAACGCACAGCTACATTTGTTATAACCCTGGGGAAGCATACTCCGTTTACGGTTTCATCAATGAGCATAACTGCTCAAACATCGAAGGTAATTGCGCAAGGGATGAATCCAGCGCGAAAGTCTTATTGTAGCGATTTCGTTGAACGCAACTTACGGAGCGGAACAAAGAACCAAATATTTGACTCAACGCGTTTTTGTCTTTTTGGATTCACTTCAATTGACGTGAACAAACGAGGGGTGCCGATGGTGCAGTGGCTAATGCTTCCGCGTCAATCACTGCGCATCTGGAACACCAGAGGTACGTGGTTCGATCCCCCGCGGTGTCTGCCCTTCCTGCCAGGGTGAGAGACAGGCGACGCCATACAGCTCAGCAACTGCGTGCGTCGTAAAAACGACTATTTTGGAACTGATGATATATGACCTCACATCACGTCATTTTAATAGAATTTGCCTTTCTATCTACGGGACTCGAGGTAGACGACAAGCACATAAGGTCGATCCAAATGCATTCTTCATTTAGACGTTGTTCCAGAGTCCCGCTTGGTTGTACGGCGCGGTCACAGTTCCCTAGGCTGTGAGCCGATCATGACCGGTCACCCGATCATGACCGGTCACCCGATAATGAACGGTCCGGTCGGTTCATGGTGAGTCGCCGTGCTTAACCAATGTTTAAATTTGTATTTGCGACCGACCTGGCAGAGATGCCATACATTTCCTCTTTTTCATAGACTGAATAAAACTGAATGGGTTTTCGATTGTACATCAGTTTGTGGATATCAAAAGTACAGTTTTTCATAAAGAGATGCACGGAATCAAACTAGGTACATTTAGGTACCTCGTTGACCATGAATGATATTAAGTCCATGTTTCAGAAAATTACAGGTACTTAGTCTTCCAATGCACTCCCCCCAACGCTATACCTCGCAAACTGTATTCACTAGAACAAGTCGAAAAACTGGGTTTGTGACGTCATCACGCATTCCGATCTTTTCTTAGTTTCTTATCGGTCCACCGTGTGGCTGTAAAACTTGCAGAATCGTTTCGGTCATATGTTTACACCAATCGGTCTGTTCTCGTCAATGTAGAAGAGGCTGTCATGTTCAAACGCATTTATCCGCGGTCCATTTGCCGTGGAGCAATCTATTACTGATCAAATGGGACCCGTGTGATATAACGGCGCGTGAAAAGTGCAAGAAACGTGGGATCTTTTTTAAAGTCACCCTCAGCGTCTTACCAGCCATCTGTTGCATCAGATATTTCCGGACGACCTCGCTTTCTGTGATTGGCTTAGCCGCTCATCACACGATATCGCACTCGCTTCTCATTGGTTAATAACCACGTGATGTCACATGATTTCCGTAGAACGTGACCATGGCTCGTTTCCGTTCGGAAACAATATGTGAGGGGAACCGTTTGCTGTCACGTATGCCTATGGGCTTGAAGGCGCAAGGCTATGGGCGCCATGCGACCATTGTAGTCGGCGCGTCCCAAAGCCCAGATCATCAGCACGCAAGGCTACTGCTGGTTTTGCACGTGGACATTGTGGTGTGGAGTGCGTGCGGCCAGTTGAAGCTCTAAATCGACAAGACCTATCTTTGCGTGGCTTGCAAGAAGGACAGGCACGAACGAGATCCTTACTAGTATACCACGCAAGCCGTTAAAAGTCTGCTTCAGTTGCTGATGACGACACGCTGCGACAAACGTTGCGCGAAACGTGGAATGTACGCAAAGAACGCAACAGTTGACCACCATGGGGTACTTGGGGAATCTGCGGCAAAGAACGCACGTAATGTCTGTGATGCGATCGCTCTTGCCTATTGCATGACAAGAGATGATTTCCCGCAGAGTTGTTTTCGTCTTGCTTAAATGCAGATGTCATTTCATTTTGGCAACACAGTTAGACGGTTGAGTGTTTGTCCTGTCTTGGTTTGCTGTCAAAAGATCTTGACATGCGCCAGTATGCCGTTGAAAATGGCAGAAAATACATAAATATTGTTCACCAAGATCTGTTTTATTCGTATTAATCTTAAATACCACTCTGTCTAATCATGCACGTCTCAGGGATAGCCCTATGACGCCAATTTTATAGCGTCGAAGACGCTCCCTGTCCGCATCTGAGCATCCTCCGTGGTTAGTCTTCTTTTGGTACACAGTCACTCTATATCCCAGTCCTTTTTCCAGGAACAGTCGCATCAAAAGGTGATTGCATTTGTTGCATTTGGTCTTCTTGGAAGTTTTCAACCAGACCGCCCTTCAAATATGTGTTCAGTAGTTTAACTGCACTGCGTCTCTAACCTCCACAAAGATATCGTGTAAAAAACGACACAAAATGTACCGTCCAAAGGTAAGACCCCATCTGTCAATTTTTGGCCACTTTTGGTTTTTACGTCATCTGATTCGCCTACTCATGCTAAATTCGGTCATTTAAGGTATCAGCTGAAATTTTCACAAACTTTTAGGAGCACTTCACAAATTTTCACTTCTTTGTTCTATCTAAAAACTTGTGAAAATTTCAACTATTGGTTTAAATACCCGACTTAAGCATAAGAAGACGAATCAGACGACATCAAAAACGTTAAATGGCCAGAAATGAACGAATGGGGTTTTACCTTTGGACGGCAGAAATGTTACGTGTGTTGTTAATTTGTAGTACGTCGGCTTCTACATGCCCCACAAAGGTATTGGTTCACAAATGTCCATGTACTTTTAGGTCGATATACTTTTAAGTAAAAAAGGCTGCTCTAGACAACGCAGTTTCTCTGGTTAGTAAATATGCTCCTCAATAGGTCATGGCTTGCACAACCTTGATCGCTGCATGGCCAACGGAATGACAGGATTTGAATGACGTCATGATGGCGACATGGATGCCTGGGTGAGCTTGAAATAGTCTCGCCGATATAGTCTGCATATCATCGCAGGCATCTTCCCAGAGAGGGCACTGCTCCCGGCAGCAGCAGCCCCGGTCCAGACAGCCGTTCCCGCCGTGTCTCTCACCCCGCCCGTGTCTTGTCTCTGCCTCCCCAGAGAAGGCGCTGATCCCGGCAGCAGCAGCTCCCGCCCAGACGGCCCTCCCCGCCGTGCCTCCCACACACCCGTGTCTTGTCTCTGCCTCCCCAGAGAGGGCGCTGCTCCCGGCGGCAGCAGCCCCGGTCCAGACGCCATGCCTCTACTGGAGGACAACGTGGTGTGGAGAGCATTGTCGCTAGTCATGGGCGGCCTCTTCATGGTGGCCAGCTCCAGCCAGGTGAGCCGTTCAGCCCCAGTTCCAGCTCCAGAGAGGCGGGATGTCAGCCTCAGCTCCAGCCAGGTGAGACAGTCAGTGTAAGCCACAACTCCGGGTGCAGCACTAGTTCCAGTTCCAGTTCCAGTTCCAGCCAGGTGACACGGGGAGATCAGGAGCCCGGATGTGGGAAGAACCGGCGGAGAACTTGCGCTCGTGTTCTGAGGGCGTGGGTGATGGCAACGTCAACCACCCCATTAGCATCCTGAATGTTGAGAGAATCCTGAGATGATGAAGTTTCCCAGAGGCACAGTGTCACCATTGATCGCCATGCTACCAAACATCCGCGTAAAAGTCGCCAGATAGTAGTGACATGCAGTGGCATGTGCTAGTGGAGTATTTGCTGTGCTCGCTACGGATGGCACTTCTGATGCACCTGTTTATGGGTCACGTGTGCAATGCACAAGGGAACTGCCTCTTCTCCATGTGCACACAAGGATCTTCATGTTTTAACTCCAGGGGTTTGCCAAACCAATTCCAAAGTTTTTGAAGCGCGCACTACACCAGGACCGAATAGGACTGCACAGCACAGCACAGCACAGTACAATGCGTGCTTGGAGAGCGTTGCATTTTGTATTCATGTGGGAGGGGGGGGGGGGGGCACAGTGACATTGCGCGTGAGTGCCGTGTGTGACTTACTGCAGATAGTCGGTTCTCTGTGCCGACAGATGGAGGGGAACCAGCCGTGCTTGTGGGTGTGTGCGACTAACTGCAGATGGTCAGTTCTCGGTGCCGACAGATGAAGGGGGACCAGCCGTGCGTGTGGGTGCCGTATGCGACTAACTACAGCCAGTCGGCTCTCTGTGCCGACAGATGGAGGGGACCAGCCGTGCGTGTGGGTGCCGTATGCGACTAACTGCAGACAGTCGGTCCTCTGTGTCGACAGATGGAGCGGGGACCAGCCGTGCGTGTGGGTGCCGTATGCGACTAACTACAGCCAGTCGGCTCTCTGTGCCGACAGATGGAGGGGACCAGCCGTGCGTGTGGGTGCCGTATGCGACTTACTGCAGACAGTCGGTCCTCTGTGCAGACAGATGGAGGGGACCAGCCGTGCATGTGGGTGCCGTGTGTGACTAACTGCAGACAGTCGGTCCTCTGTGCAGACAGATGGAGGGGGACCAGCCGTGCGTGTGGGTGCCGTGTGTGACTAACTGCAGACAGTCGGTCCTCCGTGCAGACAGATGGAGGGGACCAGCCGTGCGTGTGGGTGCCGTGTGTGACTAACTGCAGACAGTCGATCCTCTGTGCAGACAGATGGAGGGGACCAGCCGTGCGTGTGGGTGCCGTGTGTGACTAACTGCAGACAGTGCCGACAGATGGAGGGGGACCAGCCGTGCGTGTGGGTGTCATGTGGAATTCACAGGAGTTCTCTGTGGGGACAGATGGAGGGGGACCAGCCGTGTGTGTGGGTACCGTGTGTGACTAACAGTCAGTCCTCGGCATCGACAGATGACAGGGGACCAGCCGTGCGTGTGGGTGCCGGTGTATGCCGTGCCTGCCAGCCTCTGCCTCCTCGTCGCCATCAAGCTGCAGTACGCAGGTGCGTCAGGGGCACAGGGATGTGTGAGCAGAACAGCGTGGCATGCCATGGCACGTCATGTCGTGCCATGCCGTGTCATGCCGTGCCATGTCGTGAAAGGGCAGCGCAGGGCAAAAAGGCCAGATATCGCATGGCATGATATGCCATGTGATGTTGCGTCGTCTTGTTGTGTCACCATGTTGCATGGTCATGTTACGCCACGAAATGGCATGACTTGCCATGATTTGACATGACGTTGAACGTTACAGCGGGCAGGGCAGGCAGGCAGGGCAGGGCAGGCCAGGGCAGGCCAGGGCAGGCCAGGGCAGGCCAGGGCAGGCCAGGGCAGGGCAGGGCAGGGCAGGGCAGGGCAGGGCAGGGCAGGGCAGGGCAGGGCAGTGCAGGGCAGTGCAGGGCAGGGCAGTGCGGGGCAAGGCAGGGCAGGGCAGGACAGTGCAGTGCATGGCAGGGCAGTGCAGGGCAGGGCAAGGCAGGGCAGGGCAGGGCAGGATAAGGCAGGGCATTGCAGGGCAGGGAGGGCAAGGCCATCAAGGTATGATTGATATATCATCATTCCTTCATCAAGTTGCGTCAGACACATCATGACGCATGATCAAGCGTTATGACATTCCCAACCATACCATGCCTGAATCGCACAGGGACTCTGCCTTGGCGAGCCTGCTACGTGGTGCACTTGGCGTGCTGCCTGGCGCTGCTGGTGCTGGTGCTGGTGCGCGCCGTGCGGTTGCTGCACCAGCCGGCGGCCAGAACCACCTCACCGGCGCCGCTGACCGACAACGAGGACCTCGTCAGGAACGCCCGGTCAGAGGCGGATTGCGGGTCGGGGGGGAGGGGGGAGGGGGTCGGAAGCAGAGAGGGATTGGGGCGGTGCCCAAGCGAGAGGTGGCTTAATGACTGTTGCCCTAACCGCGGATGAGTCTTACATGCGTTTGAAAGATGTGTTTGTTTCCCGATGTTTTTTATATTTGTTTTAGACCCAGAAGGTTACGCATGGTGCTATGCCTATAATTGAGTGAGTTGAAACATTCGAGTCCTGTCCACTCTTCCCCACCAGTTAGTTGCAGGGAGTGTTTCACATTTGTGTGAGGTTTTTAGCTGAAATAGCCATCTTGAAGATCATTCGGTGCAGTTCACAGCTCTGATCTTTTTAAGCCGTCTAAACCCCTCCAGCTTCTGAGGACAGGCCCGCAAAGATTCGCAGACTATTTCGTGCGGACCATTTCAAGGTCACACAAGCATCCATGATGCCGTCATAACGTCATTAAAATCCTGCCATTCCACTGGACACGCAGTCATCGAGGTCAAGAAAAATACGGTTGTCCTGTCGTTAATATCTGGCACTCGTGAGCTCAAGTTCCAGATATAACGGCCGTCAACTGGCTCTCAATCAATGTTGTGTGGGGTAGGGTGGTGCAATCAAGCGATGACATATTGAGGCGCATATTTCCTAACGAGAGTCTTTCTCAGTCTCTTCCACTCAAAAGTGTACCAATAGTTAAAAGTGAGGTAATTTCATGATATTTGGTGCTTGCTTCAATATCTTCAAATGTGGAGTATTTCCTTTAAGTACGTCTCGTTATTGTGCCAAAAATTACGAATGCATCTTGTTCTATATAAATGCAGATGCGTTAGTTTTTGTCGGTGGTGAAGTAGGCCGAGCGACACTCTGGTACCTGAGACGTTCCTGAACCGATCGCTGTGCAATGTCTCGTCCTGCCGCGATGATCTCCAGTGAAATAGAGTTCCACCCCACCTGCTTGCATTGTAAATTGCAACCTATCAAAATTTCCCTGTGGCTGGTCACGCAATCTGTGGCAAAAGTAAACGGTTGGCCGATTTTGGTTTGCCACTGACGTTTCTATTTCAATATGCTCCGATACGTTCTCACCAGTTTGTTTCCGGTAGATGGCAGCAGTAGCACTCTGTAGGTGACGCTAGTACCGACCATCGGCGCTGAGTGTGGTGTGTGAGACCTAGAGTGAAATCAGATCCGTGTATCGGATATCGCCGCCTTGCCTATTTTCCTAGACACCAAAAGTGTGTTTTCATGAATTTAATATAATAAGTCCGTAATTAGACTCAACACATATTGGGAATTCGGTGAGTATTTCGGGTTGAAACCCAAGCATATGAGCGTTTAGGAGGCCGTTCAGAACACCGATGCTACCCTGTACAGTGGCGTAGCCAACGGTAGGAATGGGCTGGGTCGTCCATCTCCGGAAGTATTCCGGGCCTCCTTGATGCTGAAGGAACCAGTTTTTTGGGCAATTTAAACTAGAGCTTCTGAAACACAAAAACGGGTCCGTGACATCAGAAAAGAACTCAGACTGCAGAGCCTTATCAGCTCCCCGAATCTGCAAGCAGGGCCAATAAGCGATGAAGAGCACCCTCCTGGGCTGCAAATACTCTATAATCCGGTTTTCCCCCGTCTGGAAGAACTTCTGAACCCGCCACTGACCTCATGATCGCACGTTTCAGGGAGCTAACTGCCCTTGCTATCACTATCGTGTGGATGAAAATGACTAAGCACGTGTCCGACTCGCATGTGCGGTAAGTAGCAAGTGTTACGATGTGCATCAGGTATTTGTTTGACATTTTTGCTATTAGCTGCAGATCTTAGGCAAATCAACATACAAAACATATGCATGTACGTAACAGTAGCAGTTCATGCATGTAGGCTATGGCCCTTAAGGTGTAGCTTCGCAAAATAAGTTGGGACGGGGCTAAGCAGGAGAAAACAGCAAAACCTACCCCTAAACTATGCAAAAAAACGTGGTTTCCCTAAAATTTAGCTGACTCTCTACCCAAAGCTGGGTCTGCTACCATCAGCGACATATGTTGACGCCAGAGTAGTTCTCGCACCTCTAGCCGGCCTCTCTCTCTCTCTCTCTCTCTCTCTCTCTCTCTCTCTCTCTCTCTCTCTCTCTCTCTCTCTCTCTCTCTCTCTCTCTCTCTCTCTCTCTCTCTCTCTCTCTCTCTCTCTCTCGTGACGTCACCGATTCTGCTTCAGCGTGACACTGAGTCAGCAGCAGACGACTCGCATGCTGCCGCTGCTGCTGCTGCTGACGCTGGCCGTGCCGGGCCTGCTGTGGGTCGCCTGCCAGATGAGGCCCACCAGCGGCGACCCCACCTCGGCGGGACGCCTGTAGGGTCGAGGCGCGACCTCGGCGGGACCCCCGTGTCATGGCCTCTGCAGTGATGTGATGTCACCTCAACGGAACCTCAGCATGTGTGCAGCCCGGTGGGACGTTTGACCGGAGCATCGATACACCGTTGCGGCAGGACATGGATATGGATATGGATATGGGAAGTGGATTCGTGCAGCCTGGTTTTCCAGTGATCGTCTTGAGGACGTCGTATTGTCATAGTTGTGTTATGCTACGATTGTAAACCGCCCGTTTTTATGTTGGATGTATCACCTCATCACGTAAGAGGGGGCTGCTTTTTCTCGGGCCAATAGCGATTTCGCCTGAACTTATCATGGAATAAGAGGAGTCTTGTTCATTTGATGTCTCACTTGTTTCCGTACATGGTTGCTTATTCCAGGGCAGGTTTAGCTGGCCTCGGAAATCTGAATCGTGCCTGTAAATTATCTCTTATATTAGATCCTGGTTACGCGTCACCGACATCCTATTGAATTAAATCACATTCATATGCTGAGCATCTTGGGCATTCTTTGCTGGCATACGCCTGAACCTGCTCTTGTGGGGAGGGTCGTGAGGCCATCAGCGAACCGTACCAGCGCAGAAGGGGCTCCCGCCACTTGTGTTGCTGTTAAGGGCCTGGGCCAGAACCACAAAATATGACCAGAGGGTAGCTCAATGTCCGGATCATCACTGAACCTCCAGACAAAATTGAGCCCATTGCTTTGCGGCACAAAAACGAATACTTTCTTGAAAAAAACGGAAGGATTTGAGACTTCGGCGACCACGTAGTAGCAAGATTCGGGCCAAGTGAGCACATAATCGTGTTCTAAATCGGATCCCTACCTTGAACAAAATTTGTTTGCCCAGCGTGCGCAACGCACGCATCATCAGCTGTGCCAAATTTTACGGCGCTGCTGCATATTGTTGGCGGTGCCCCAGACGAGTGGCCTGGTGCATGGTACCCACCATACGCTCCCCCCGTGAGGGTTGGAATCACGCTGTATTCTACTCCCCACCCCTCCCCCTACCTTTGGTAGCGAGTGTAAAATAGTTATGACCATACTTAGTTCAATGGATTCCCCGCGGCCTCTTCGGCTTCTTCGGCTTACCCCAGCCGAACTGCAAACGCCCATGCGCCAATGCTCAGGCACGCGAAGTGCGCTATACGACGCGCGCACAGCTGGTAGCGTGAGTGCTGGTTGGGTCCATCACTCTGGCCAGGACCAGCCCCCAGAGAAGCGGCGGTTCGACAGCTTTTACCGCCAGTGTTTTGTGTAATCTGCTCTCCTCGTCTACGAATGTCGTGTGATCAACAACCGCAATGCCAAAATGGCATGCTTCGTTCCGGTTACGTATATACATAAACTGTTGGCAAAATACATCACGCTCTTCCTGGAACCTGATCAAGTGTACTGCGACTTAGGCGCACGCAGCGTTGATGTGCGTGCCCATGCGTGTCCGGGGTCGGTCAGCACTGTTCTAGGTCAGTCAGCACTGGCTGGGATTGGTCAGCACCGTTCTAGGTCAGTTAGCACTGTCCTGGGTCGTTCAGCACTGTCCTGGGCCAGTCAACGCTGTCCTGGGTTGGTCAGCACTGTCTGTGGTCAGTCAGCACTGCCCTGGGTCCGTCAGCACTGTCCTGGATCTGTCCTGAACTTAGCTGAACGCTGTTGTGATATTTCCTCCGACGGGGCGCGCTGACAGAGACGACAACGCGGAAACATTGAGCCTGATCCACGACTGCAACTTTGATCAGGAACGAGCACTGCTTGAAATAAGGAACATGTAGAATTGCAAGAACAATGTAGTCGTGTAAAGAGCACGCAAACGAACTTGTTGGCATATTGTGTATTGTTTTAGGTGTTACGTGCACTTCACCTCATCCGAGAAAAATTCGTATCGCATTTATTCGTGGGGTATTCCCTTGTATACTAAACTTGGTACGCAAAGGCTTCTGCATCGCAGTACTCGGTACGCAAATTTTCGTTAGCAAATATTTGTCTCCACAGAACTTCTTGTGTCGAGGTTGTCATATCGCATTTCCTTACATACACGTGTATTCATACCGCATTTATTTGTGCAGTATCAGATCCCATGTCAACCCCGTGCCTGTACCGGGTGTGGGCCATACCACGACACCTAATACCGCTCGGGCATCCGACATATTTGTCATTCATTTGTCCATTCGCAGCGTGGTCCGAACAAGTACTCGGATCCAGCACTATGCAGCAAGTACTCGGATCCAGCACTATGTAACACAAGGCTTTTCTTTTGGTTTCGTGAAGAGCGATATACTATTTGTGCAGCTTAAGCCCGTGTAGGTGCAGTTCCAGCGTGATATTCGTGCAATACGGATCTGGCGCGCGAATGTGCTGAGTCCTAGTCGTGCGCTGTTCTCACGTGCATTTCGTCTGGGTCCAAATGCAGGGTTGGGTTGATGGGTAGAAGAGGTCATTAATCTAGGACATGTTTTTTTAATGGATTCGACTTGCAACTGCACGTGGCTTTACATGTATCCGAAGAAGCCTTGAATCAACCGAAACGTAGAATGCTTTGTCGTCGCTCCAGTGCGCACGCGTTGGTGGTGAGATACTTGCTGATGCCCTGCCCGTCACGCACTACTCGTCACGCTCTTGTTGATGCAACGCGACGGATATGCAGGATTTTTTCGTTGAAATAATCAGTCATCACATCACGCCATTTGTGTTGGTGAGTTTTACTGGTCGCTATATTCTGTTTTTTTTTTTAGTTTATCCGTGTTTGGACCACTGGTAGATCAGCAAACGATTGGCACGAGGCAGCAGATATTCTTCGCTGCTCTGATAGCTTCCAAAGAGCGTGGGGCCGACCGTCACAAATAATACAGTTACTTATGTTTGGAAACATGATTTAGCTGAAACATCGTAAAAGTAGAAAAGATGGTATTTCAACCAGCTTGTTTGTACTGCTCGGGAGCTGTCGGGATAATCTGTATCCCTTATTCAGCCTTGGTTAGACAAAATATAAAAAACAGATTCAGATACGCATTAAGAAAGTATGAAAAGGCATAAAAAAGTCACACGCAATTTTATCATACCCATCTATGCGAGACAACGAAAGGAAAATAGATGACTAGTTTTATGTGACAGCCGCACACAAATGCAGCCTTGGCAAGAATTTTCGCTGCATTTCGCAATGACGCGTGGCAACTAAGTGCCACGCCGTACAGGTACCTGTAAACCATTTGCAAAGTTATTCCACATTTTCGCGTCGATGCAATAGCGGCCCATGCTGCATATCACAACATCTAAACAATATAACGCACACGCGTATGCATTAGTCTGACGCCAAGTCGGCTAGATCGACCTATGTGGCACCAGGTAATTCGACCTCTATTACACCAGCTAACTCGACATATGTTGCACCAGCTAACTCGACCCATGTTACACCAGCTAACTTGACCCATGTTACACCAGCCAACTCGACCCATCACCCCCAATCACTGCTCTTTGTTTTGTTCTAGTCTTGCGTGGGTTGTTAAGTATATTTGCGAGAAACATTCTGAATATGGATAAGAGAGTTCATAGCCTTATTACTCGGAAAAAACGGGAGATGGAGAGATAGATGCGTTGATATGTCGGCAACAAGCCTGTATCAAAACGAATATTAGTATTTAAAAATCTGTCCATTGTCGCGGTTTTTCCACCAGGAATAAGGCTATTGCACTGTCTTGTTCTAGCTTTATAATTTTGAAATTATATTCATACTCGCTACCGGCAGCGTCGGTTTTGTTTTCAAAAACTGTCACCGGTCGTTGTTGAAATAAAAGTACCCTCCTTGATACTTTTTTGTCTATTTTGCCCACTAGTTTGAGAAATCCCCCTTCCGCGACGCAATCGCATGCATCCAGACAGTGCTTCGATAAGCCCGAATGGCTTATATTCACGTTTCTAAACGCCCTCTGGTGTTAACCTCTTCCGGTCATTAGGCTTCTTAAAACTTCTTTAAGCTTCCTAAGCCTTCAATGTTGGGTCACCCACTACCTCCAGGGACATTGTGCGTATACCCGAAAGTAGAAACAACGGCAGTGACGCCCCATCTCAGTCTTCACTTACAGCAACACGCTGCATCAAGCACCCGTCCACAAGGAGAAACTACGGCAGTCGGCACCTCTGCAATGCCCGTCACTACTGGCATTGCCATTGCAACGATCAAAGGACAGGTGGTCTGTTATTTTGGCTGATGTTTTCCTAACTAGTGCGGAAACGAGTCTGCTGGAAAATGTTCTTTCAATTTCGTCCCTATACGGCGAGCTCAGTTCAGAAAAAGTTTCCTTACCCTCGTAGATGTTATCGCAGCAATGGAAGATGTTGTCAGCAGGGCTAACTTATTTAGTGACGATGCTAGTAGGCCGCGTTTTGAAGTAACAAAATGAGCGAACATTATCCAGACTCACTGAATGAGTGATTTGACTCACTGGATGAACAAAGTGGAAATTACTCCCCTGCAATTTTTAGTGTAACTTTGCAATTCATTCGTAATCACGTTACATCCGTATTTTAAACATGGATAACACGACGCCAATGCATAATGGAAGTAAAGTATAATAGGTTGTGGCAGGCCTAGCTACAACCGCGTGTGATGCACGCCCGCACTCAAGGTGCTGCCCTCTGGCCATCCAGTCGATATACTGCTTGATGTGACGTGCTCATGCCGATCATGAACAAAAATAGTGCAATGACAATAAATGGCAGAAATGCATTATCTGGGGTTTCAACGTGCCAGACCGTGGTGGCATGCGTATGTGGTCAATGATGTGTCTACTGAGTGTTTAGCTATCATGGCGATTCATGTGGTGTGTCTATGCCATAATAACCTTCGAAGCGGGCATGTTGGAGCTAAAACCCGGCAGAAATTGCGATGCAAAAGGCGAAAGTCAAGGAATTAAGACACTTGCGGAGTTCTTATTCTCACTGTGATCAGCCTTCACTATACCAGCATACCAATTCAGTATACCATACCGTTCAAACGTTTCTATCAAGCAAACATCGGTTATGCTGGCAATATTCATGGTATCAAGAAAGGTTAGGCAACGTCCCCATTGGTTGCTTGATAATGTCGTTTAACCAGTACGTCGGTAACTGTCAGCA